GCTGTGAAAGACTCTCAACTTGTAAGGACTGGTGTTGTTAGACTGGGTCCTACTGCATCGTGCAAGCTACTTTCCCAAGCCCATTGTCCTTAACTTCATCACACCTGCAAAGGCCTTTTTCTCATGTACCATGTAAGGTAACATATTCACGTGTCCTAAGGATTATTAGGACATAGCTATCTTTGGGACTAGGATAGGCATAATTTGACCTCCCACACCTGGAATAAAAGTTATTAAAGGAACCAAATCTAGAGTTTATAGATTTGGTTGGGAAGTCTTGTTGACTGTACCTTCAAAATATATCCAGACTCCTGGTGCCACCATTTCTACTGCTGAGGTCCAAGCCACTTGATCTCTCACCAGGATTACTTCTACAGCCTTCCATCTCTTCTCCCTATTCCACTCTTAACATAGTAGCCATAGTGATCTTTTAAAAACATTTCAGTTCATGTCAATCCTCTGTTCAAACTTTCCAGTGATTCCCAATTGCACTATGGATTACAAAGTCTCTACAATGGCTTGCCAGGCCCTATGTGATCCTCTGGACTCTAGGAGTTTCTAACACTTTCTCTGGCTTGCTCTGCTCCAGCACACTGAGCTTCTCATGCTTACTGCTACAGCCATGAGAGGAAGGGTTTCTTTATTTTACTACCTGCTCCAGTACCCTCAAGTAGAGAGTGTGGCATGGTTGTGAGGTGACTCTTCCTTATTAAGGATCTGGGAGGAGAAATGGGAGAAGGATAAATATCTTCTGACTTCATTGCCATTGCTGTGCAAGTGGATGCCCCCGCATCTTACTAATCCCACTTCTTACTGATCGGTGCTGAGAAGCTGAGCTGCAAATACTCACTTTTGCATAGGGTGCATATGTGTGAGGTTTGCAAGGGTCTCTAAAGGGTTTCTCCACTGCAGTTTCTAGATGGTGGATGGAGCTGGCTCAACCTCTCCAACAACCCTTGACCTCTGCTCATTGCAGCACATCTACAGTTTCTTGCTGTTGAGTAACCTTCGCCCAGGGATTGGACTTCTTGGGTGGGCCACCAAATCAATTCAATGTCAAACATTCCTCTATGTCAAACCAGATCACCAGGAAACTCTTTATTCTCTCTTGAGAATGCCAGGTACTTACAAAGTTACTATTTCAGCTTGGGCCCAGTTTTCGAATGCCAGAAAATCAGACAAACTTTCAAGCACTATTAGAGACATAAAAGCCCAATGATGACATAAAAGGCAATGAGGTAGTGAAAGGTTCAAGTTGAACAGAGGAAAATGTCATTCTCTGGTCAAAGAACAGGTTGGTCATGTTTGTTCCACTTCTGAAGAAGCAGCCAATTAAATGGGGGAGGGGGGCTTCAATGTGATGTAAAACTTGATTTTCTTGCTAACATTTTTACTAATTCATTTCTAAGACTTTTAGATAAAAGGACATTTTTGTTTTTTGTTTTTTTTTCTCTGCTTGAAGATAATGTATGTTCCCAGCAGGAACTTGAGATATTACAGAAAAGTTTCAACAAAGAAACCAAAAGTAATCCACAATTGTATGGCTGATGGTAATCAAGTTTGGTGGGATATCTGATATGAGACAATTTAGGATTGTATTACAAAAGAAAGATCTTACTTCATTTTGATTTTACTTTATTTTCTGTTGGAAAGTTGTTCAATGAACACACTTGGGAGAATGCAATTTGGAATACAGAGTTTATCTAAGACCAGTAGAGCCCTGAGACAATAAAAAAATGATATTCTCATATCCTTTAGAGTTGTCTTTTATTTTTACTTTTTAATTTATTTATTGTTTTTACATTTACTCACGTGTATACATTGTTTGGGCCACCTCCCTTCACCCTCATTTTTGATTTTTAAAGTGAGTAGTGTTTAAATGAGTAAAAGGAGGAGAAAGATCTTATGCCATTGTAACTAAAACACTCAAACCTTTGAAGAGAAAACATAAGGTGCTCTTATTACTACTTGTTGAGTAGCTTCTCCACCTGACAAAAGCAAATATAGAAACTTTTTAACTGTGAGCTTGGCATTGTTCTCTGTACTCTAAAATCAGTGAGTAGCAGACCCTGTGAGGTACATTCTATCCTCCTTTCTACTGTACATCTGAATATACTGGAGCCAAGGAAAGCAAAGTGTAGGAGATGCAATTCCAACCCAGGAAATCAGCTTAACTGCTAGAATTGGCCACTTTTGATGTGTTTCTTTAAAAACATGTGAAACCAAAAACTCATGAAATCTGTTTATCCATAGAGTTGGTCTTCACACAGGAGGAGGCAGCAGAGGGCATGGTTCATAATGCAGACTCTGAGCCATGCACCTGGGCATGCACTATAGTTCTGACAACAGTCCCATGGATTGTCCTGGGCAAATCTGATAACCTCACTGAGCAATAACTTCCTTCTATGTAAAATGGACAAAAAGTACCTCTCAAAGAGTCACTTGGCACAATGTCTGTCTCCAAAGCATAGTACTCATCATGATCCCTGATAATCACATTACACTAAGATCAAGGGGACTCTATACTGTATCCAGTATGAGATAATATGAATCATCTTATTTATTAGGGGGAATTCTACAAATAGGGTGCAAAGAAATGTGTGGGAGGTGATGTTGGAAGGCAGGTGTTCAGATAAAGAGTTAGGAGCTAAGATACCCACAAACAAACATGAGGATGTTGGTGTCCCAAACATTTAGACAAGTGGAGAGAGAAGGAGCTCAATGGGTGCCAGTCAGTAAGGGAAAGTGCAGGTGTCTCTCCTTTACTTTCTCAATTCTTATTATCCAAACCTAGGAGAAGAACAGATTTGGATGTGGAGGGAGTCCAAGAAGAGCAGACAGACAGCTTGGCCAGCAGCGTTGAGGTACAGAGTCAACTCAGTCTTGTAAAGGCAATCTATTTATTTTATAATATTGGATAAGAAGAATGCTTTCTTCTATCTTGGCCCAAGGTTCTGGAATGTCCAGTTACAACACTGGTATGCTATCAAAAGATTTCATATCTTGAAACTTGCAGTGTTTTATCACTGGTACGTCAACCACAAACCAGTGCCTTTTTGATAGCAATTAAATCCTTGGATTTATATAATGTGACATGATGCAAGGGACATTGTTTAGCTCTTGGCATAGCTATGAATGCCTAGGGCAGAACACCAAAGGAAAAAAGTCTACTTTGAAAGCTTTCTCGGAACAAATCTGAGGAAATACACTGGTTAATGCAAATACATGTCTAAACAAGTACTGATTCGTCTAGGGATCATGTGGGGTTGGCAAGCCTTCCTTGGCATGAGGAGAGTGAGTAATGCTTCATTTTAATGAGGGAACTTGGGGGTCTATAATGAGCGCTATGTGGTATTTCCCATGCGTCTCTTTGGAACATGGACTGATTGCACACACAGTGGAAGAAAGGCCATCAGACACAACATAATTCCTGAAATATCTAGGGCTCTACAAGACAATTTGGTAGCATACAAATGAATTCTCAGAAATATACCAAAGTTCCCAGAGAGAAGAACTTTCTTGTCTCACAGGTAAGCAATGTGGTATAATGAGACTGAACTTGGGATGGAGTGAGGGTCTGAGAGGTTGATTTTTAAGCTAGTGTTAAAGGCAGTTCCAGATATGTTTTAAACTCTGTAGCATATCTGGAATGATTGTGTAGCTTCCCTATGTGGTTCTTTTGAAAGGTAGCAATCGCTGATTATCAGGGTCACATGTCTAAAGCATATAAACTCATTTTTAAAGTATAATATTAGTCACATTTTATTGGTGAGTCTTGACCATTTGGCATTCTCTCTCACAGAAAGTCAATACCTAAGATTATGCGGGGGGGGAACTCTAGGAAATGATTAGGAAAACAAACTTTTCCCCAGTTTTCATGAATGGTTTTTGCACCAGTTGATGGACTAGCAAATGGATGAACTTCACTGCATGCTCGTTCTGGGGTATGTCATCTGGATGTCTTTGAGATCTATTCACCTGGTGTGGCTTTCTGCTCAGATCTGGGGTACTATGCAAATGCTCGTGCAACATATGTAAAGTTCTAAGCTGACTACTTTATATTTCTAGGCTGGCTAGAGCAAAATGCTGCATGGAGACTGGGCCTCCCAAAGAGCTCTGGGCTTTCGGTAGGAGTAAGTACAGTTGTGGGGTGTTTGGAAGAACATTATCCAGTCCTTCAGGCTTAAAGGAGGGAATGGTGACCCAAACTCAGGACAAAAGATTCCTTGGTGGGAGGGACCTCCTCTGGGTGTGTTAACAGGTCAAAGAGGACTTGGTGGAATTATAAAAAGAAATAAGAAATCTTCACATTAAGATAAATAATTTTTGAAGTGTTAACACATTAAAAAAAAAACAAAACCCATTTAATATGAAGTAACTTGCCAGGCAAAAACTCTTATCAGATAAATTTGGCACCTCACTCTTGGGACTTTCATTGCATTCAATAGACCACATGGAAATTTCTTGTGGTTATTCACTCCAGTATTTGAAAACAAAACAGTTAAATTCATTCTATATGTAATAGCTAATTCTGGAATAGGTTTTAATAGATTCATGAAAATGTACATTTTCACTTGCATCCTCTTAAGTTTAAGGTCATTGTTCTAAGAGGTCATTTCTTCTGTTTTCATTTGTGTTTGTTTGCAACTCCTCCAGCCCCCCAACAAAAGCAAAACCAAAAAAATACCAAGCAAAGAAGCCCTTAAGCTATAAAAGTAGTGTCCAAGAAAAACATTTAGTTTGAAAAAGAGTTGAAAAATGTAGCCTTGGAAGAACCAATGCTTACATGGGATTGTTCAACAAATTCCTGCTGTGTGAGGTTTGGCATATACTTTCTAAAAATATAAGCATCTGGGGAAACAAGACAAAGCCCAGGTCTTGGACCAAATGAGGCACCCAGTGTGAATCTGTTAGTGATTATATTAATAATGCAATTTGTGCCCAAATTTAGCAGTGCAGAATCTAATACAATACGAAAGCCCAGCATGCATGGTCCTTACCATAATATATAGCCCACAGAGAAGGTGCATATGGCAGCGAGTCCACTGCTCCTGCTGGGATACTGATGGTGTGATGTCCTCATCTCGATTAATATAAAAGGCAAAACCGTTGTGTGCTGAAAAAGAACAGAGACTAGGTGACACAGATTCTTATCATCGTCTTTCTACAGTTATTTTCTCTCTAGTAGGAAAATGAACAGTGTAAATTTCCAGGAAAGAGCCACAGCAGAAAACGGTCTATGGCTCAACAAGGAGGGAGAAAGAATGGACAGGAAATCATGCATTACAACAGTTGTTCCACTGGTGTTTTTTCTTCTGCAGCTTAACTTTTAAATTTTTATTTAATTTGATGTCCACGATTAGAAATTTTGATGACATTGGAAAGATATATAGCCTAAAATTATGTGAACAAAACAAAAGGATAAAAATAACCACAGATAACATTTTGGTACATGTGCTAATTTTTTTACTCTCTCCGCATATTTTTTATACACAGTGAAGATCACACTGTGCACAATTTTGTTTTAGATTTTTATCAAAATATCACAGAATGGGAATTTTTGATATGCCACATTAGAAATTGTTCTAGAAGATCAACCCTGACTAAACTCTATTATGTGAATGGAATTTTTAAATAATTCAGCCAATTCCTGTTTTGGGGCACTGCACAGTAGTAAAAAGTTTTCCTTTTTTCATTAATTAGAAATGTCATTACGAACATCTTTTGTGGAACTCCTTGAATTTTAAATTATTTTCTTAGCGTCAAAGGCCTGTGAAGAAAGATTTCAAGGTTATTGATTCAGACTATCAAAGTACGTGTGTATCAGCATCAAGTTAAGAAACAATGTCAAATTCCCTTCTAGACAGGTTGTGTCAGCTTGCACCAGCAGGGCCTGGATTTAGATATGATGTCTGAAAGTAGAATCCCAAGAAGCTGAGTGGAACATGCCTTTCTTTTTCTGATCCAATAGCCACTGGATCACTCTACATCCCAAGACTGTGAAACAGGATGGAAATGAAATGCATCCCATCCAGAAAGTCAGAAGAAAGGAAAGTCAATTGCTTAAATCCTTAAAGATCCAAATACAAGAGTACAAGAGTATTTGGACTGACATAAAGGTCTGCGAGCTTCTTAAATAAAACCCGTCAGGACACACACACACACACACATTCAATTTGCTCTCCAATTCTGGAGACTTTTTCAAGAGTACAAAGATGGCAGAACTGAAAATGGATCCATGAGCAGGTTTGAATTCCATGGAGTATCTCCTGAACAGCCATGAAACAATCTTTGTCCTGCTTTTGTTGCAATGTTTGCATATTCAAGGAAAAGGCAGGAAATTGAATATAATTTCCAAACTCTAATAAGTAATTTAACAATATGGAGGCAGTGGCAGGTATAAGAATGTTAGGGATATCAAGGTAAATATCTCTGGAGCAACTTATTTATCTTCACAGAGAAAGCAGAAAGACATGCTTTTGTAGGCAATATTAAGACTATTAACATTCTTTGCCCCAATCTTCTCCTCTAGATAACTCTTCTTAGTGGCAATTCATTAGTAATAAGGGTGTGATATTCTAAGGATGTCAGGTGTGTGATTCCACAGTTGGCTAGCTTTATATTTCTTCATATTTTATATTTATTATTATTATTGTTTGAAAAGAGTATAATTAGTTCTGTAGGGAACCTGCAAAATGCATATGTGTGCTAATATAGAGACAATGCATTGTAAAGATCTAGTTTATTAGATTTTTGTTATAATCTAGTTATTTCAGATGACAGTGGCCAAGAATTTCATCATCAAATAACATCATTTGAGATGTTAACAATACTTGTACAATGTTAAATTAAAATACCTAGCTAGCAATAAGGCTGTGTCTTATCAAATTTTACAAAGAAAAAAATACCTGCAAACCAAACTTTTACACTGAAGACAATGCTGATTCTGATAGCCTGTGTGTGCATTATAAATGGTAATGTTATTATTTTTGGCTTTTTAGAATTTAGAGATTCTGAAACTACCTCTTTATCTGTTGATCCAAAGTGAGTAGAAAATAGGCCATTTTCTACAAGTTTATATTAGTTTAAATAACCCACCTAAAATGCTTAGCTAAACTCACTTATTATTTTACCTAGCTGACTATCAAATAGATGTTATTACCTGAAAAGGTAGGGTCTACTTTGATGATGACAAGCAGAAAATCTGTCTGAAGAAAGCAAGAGCTTCCTAGATTATTTTATCATTGACATCCTCAACACACAAAAAAGAGCAACTTGCTTCTTCAGGGACATAGCCCATGAGAAAAGGTATTTGTGTGGCCAGCTGTGAATGTGCAAATCTGGCCAGTGGCCAATCTCAGGGGAAATGTTTTCTATTTGAAGATAATAGCTTGTCATTCAGAATTTTCAGGCACAAAAGAATTTTCATGCACCCTCTCTGAATGTTTGTAATGCAAATTATATTTACTTATAAATAGTATGTACTGATAAGAATAAATATAGTAGCAAAAATTTACCCACCCATAACTAAAGTTTGAAGAACAAAGATGACAAAAATTTACACATGGCCCTGCTGAATTCTAAGCAATTTTTAGCAGCTTAGTTATTACCTCAAATCTGCAGCAGTGAGAGGGACCTATTTTAGAACTACAGGTATAAGAAACCCAGTTCCAACCCTTTCCCATGCAACACACTACTGTGATGACTTAAGAACCAGGACAGAACTAGTCAAATCCATTCAGGACCATCCACTGCACAGGAATGGCAATCTTAATGGTTTGCTCACTGAGGTTTCTGTAGCACTGAGAAAAGACCCTGGCACACAGAAGTCCTGATAAATATTTACTGAGATAATTTAATCTTCCAAACCACATCCCAGGTGAATATTATTAACTCCATTCTGCAGATGAGACAAAAAGAAAAGGTCAGAATAGTTACCTTCTCTAAGGTCACACGGGTGCTAGGTCTAGAGGGAGGATTCAAAACCAATTCTGTTTTGAACCTGCCTCTAAATCTATCCTCTTTTTTTTCTACACATTTTAAAAGATATCAGAGTGAATAATCTTCACATTTAAAAACCTATGGCAGTGCATAATTGAAGACCACGTACATTGTCTCCCAACAGACCAGAGCTAATTTTTGATTGGGCTTCAAAAATAAAAATGTATTTTGCTAATCTCAATAATAGTAAACCATAAAATCAGCTGGTATAAATTCATAACCTTCCAGTGGTCTGACGATAGTTGCAGATGGCTGGAAGTATCCTCAAACACGAGTACCATTTAAAACTTACAGTATTCTCAGGTGGCTGAAGATCTACTTTGGATAAACAAAGGAGATAGAATCTGGTTACCAGTGGGGACTCCTAAGAGTTGCATGGGATTGTTCTTTGCAGTATGTTGTTGCTGTAATTTGGCTGTGGTTTGTCCTCCAAGGGCTCACGTATTGGGAGACTTGGTTCTCAGTGTAGTGATGGGAGGTGGTGGACCCTTAAGAGCTGAAGACTAGTGAGGGATCCTTGGGCCACTGGGGGCATGCCCTTGGAAGGACTTGGAAGGCTTCTCTGCCTTCATGTTATTATTTCTTCTGTGATGCCACCTGCATGAGGTCCTCACCAGAGCCAAGTTGATGCTGGCATTATATCCTTGGATCTCCAGAACTGTGAGCTAAATAAACTTCTTTTTTTTAAACAAACAAACAGGTAGCCTACATAATAGACTAAAATAGGTTTCAATAGAACAATCTCTCAGTGGCTGAATCATTGAGGCTTGATTTGGTTTTAACTATTAAGTCAGGGGTAAGGTTGATAGCCTAAAGAGTCAACACTTCATTTACCACAAAAACTCTGTCGTAGAAAGTATTAGTTTAAGATGTAAGTGGTTATCTTATTCCAAACTCTGTCATCCACTGTTGTTACTTTTTTTTTTTTTGTAGTGCTAAGGATTGAACCTAAGGCCTGGAGAATAGTAGATAAGAGCTCTACCACTTAAGCCATAGTACATTTTTTTTCTTGAAATAGGGTCTCACTAACTTTGTCGAGGCAGGCCTCATACTCACAATGCTCCTACCTCTACTTAGCAAATAGTTGGAATTACAGGTGTGTACCACCATGCCCAGCTCATTGTTCCTTTTGATGAAGAGCTATATTTAGAAGAATGTGTCCAAAAAGAGAAGGCCAAACCTATCCTGGCAATTATATTCTTTGTTTTTCTTAATGGGGTTTGACTGGAGCACAGTGGCCACTGTTATGCACTGAACAACACCCTGTGGAAAAGGTCTGCCTGCAGATGGAATCCACAAGGTGGTGTCACCTCCACATACAGCAATACTTAGACCTGAGTGGAGGGCTGGAATCATGGAAGGAATCATGATTTATTCATTAATGTGAAGACTAAAGCAGATGGGACAGGAAAAAGGGTGTCTGGAGAAGACGGTATAGCTAAGTGGAAAGATAAAAAAGCTGACCTCTGGGACCTAGCTCTGATTACTTCCCTCCTTACTCTAGGACTTAAGGCAGTTTCTTGCACACTAGCCAAGTTTAGACTCATGCTTTGTACAATGATGGGGCTGCATTAAATGAATGCTTCTCAAACTTCTGTCATTAAACTAATGTAAGTTTTGTTATAACACATACCTAGGCCCACTAACCTATGCATTAGGTACAGTAAACAGAGCATCAAGGTCTGTGATACTTTTGAGGGGCCTACAAAATGTTTTAGTTTCTTTTAAAATCAGAAAGAAAAGACAGAACTTAGAGTTGACTCTATTCATCTTTATACCAAGCAATCATGGAACAGGACACACTGATGGAGAATGGGATCCACGGCTACAAAATGCCAACAACTTACAAAACTCACAGTGTGGTTCTGTCACGAGCTACCTGACCTAAAGCATTCTTTTTTTCATTATTCAATTCACATTTCTCTTAAATAAATGTATTTAAAGGGAAATTATATAAGTTTTCACAAATAGAATAAAACTTGTCATAAAGAGAAAGGTAACTACAAAAACAAATACAATGAAAATGAGTTAATCTTAAATGTTCACCAGATATGTTTACATGACAAAGACTAATTCTGAGGCTTACTATGTGTTAAATAAGGATGTTAGTAGGTA